GTGCACAGCTCCAACCACAACATGTTATTCACACTCACGCATAGTCTCTCCCATAACAAGCAGATATTGACACTTGCAGACAGTGACGGAGGGAAAAACAGGAAGCAACAAAAGGAGGTACGAGAATGGCAGGAAATACACCACAGGGCACAGGACAGATAGACAGAGCTGGACTGATAAATATGGAAGAGAGAGAGATCCAAAACAGGAAGATGGAGACTATGAGAGGGCACAGAAAAGAAAGATGAATGGAGTGATAAACAAATGACGGAATGCTGGAATGTCAATACAAGACTCCACACCATTTATTTATTTATTTTTTCCAAGACTCAAACCTGTGTCTTCAACTGAAGCACCAAAGATCAGCAAATCTGAAGTGCACAGCTCCAACCACAACATGTTATTCACACTCACGCATAGTCTCTCCCATAACAAGCAGATATTGACACTTGCAGACAGTGACGGAGGGAAAAACAGGAAGCAACAAAAGGAGGTACGAGAATGGCAGGAAATACACCACAGGGCACAGGACAGATAGACAGAGCTGGACTGATAAATATGGAAGAGAGAGAGATCCAAAACAGGAAGATGGAGACTATGAGAGGGCACAGAAAAGAAAGATGAATGGAGTGATAAACAAATGACGGAATGCTGGAATGTCAATACAAGACTCCACACCATTTTTTTTTTTTTTTTTTACAAAGGAAGAGATAAGGGGAACATGTGCATTTATTTTAGAATTGATGTATGCTTTCTGTGATATGTAAGGGAATCACTGTTAACATAAAATGTAGGTGACTATTTCTTGTAAGCAATCGTTTTTTAACATGATTAACATGGTTGATGGATTCAATTATATGTTTAATTCTATTATGTGGTGTAATTCCTGTCATTTTTTCCCTCCACCATAAATTCATAACCAGCCTTGTTATTTTATCATATTTGTATTTTATTATATGGTTTTATTTTGTGTTATGCTTGATGTATCAGCACTGTTTTAAAAGTCCTATATAAATAACACATTTATGTATGCAATTAAATATATTTAAATATGTTCTATTGTGAGGTCATTTTTATTTTTTCCTCAGGCTTATTCATGATCATACTTTTTTATTATTTTATCATATTGTTTTATTTATTTATTTATTTTATTTTATTTATCTGATATGCAGCACTTCCAAGTCCTACACAAATCAACCTTGACCTACAATTGTTTTTTTTACATAGTTAACATGTAAATGAATGCAATTACATATGCACAACTCCTTTAATTTTCTAACACAGTGCAAGTGAGATAAGTAAAATGTTACATAAATCTACTCTAGAAATGTCATTGACTGTGTTGGTAAGATGCTACAACGCTAATACAAGCTTGTGGTGCTTTCGCAATATGTTCTTCTCATGTTCATGTGCTTTACTGCAATGTAATTCTCAGTAAACATGCGCAGGCAATTGCTGACTGTGTATTTAAACAGAATTAATGCTGGTTAAATGTATTGGTGTGTACTCACGAGATCAGTGAGTGGAGAGAGGTACATACTGATGGTGAACACACTGCAGGTCAGGCCCAGCTGAGAGAGTTGAGCTTCTCCAGGAGGAATAACCACAGTAAAATACACCCAGCCTACACACAACACACTCACCATCGCCAGTGTCTGCGAGAACACTCGCCTCTGAAACACATGCAGATTCAGCAAAGTCATTTTAGCATTTATTTTGCACATTTGGACTATTTTCTGATCACTCATAAAAGTTATTATTTCAGATATTTTTATTTGTTGTATACAGTGGGGTTTAAATGTCTGAGCACGCATAAAAATAAAATCTCGGATCAAATTTGACTTTTGATTGAGTTTTTCAATTCAATTTTTCACTCAAACTAGTAGTTTGATGACATAACATGTAATTAAAATGCCTGTATTAACTTTAAAATGAACATTTTCACTCAAAACGTTGTGCTTATAATGTAACTTGTAAAAATATAGTGTTCACTTGTAAAATAAATTTCACACAAATTATCATCCTAATATTTTAACTTGATATTAATATATTTAACTTAATTTTTTAAATAAAATTAATTCAAACTGTTATCCCGATAATGTAATATGAAATAAAAAAAATGGTGTATTAATTTTTCACTTCGAATTTTCAATCAAACTGTAATGCTGATCACATAATTTGTAATTAAAATAGTACATTAATATTTTATATTAAAATATAAAAAATGCAAAACAGAAGGTAGTGGTCTCAGACTTTGGACCCCACTGTATAATTAATAAGAATTAATAAAAAGACCATGCTAAATGACAAACCTTGTCTTTGGTATAATGACAGTAGGTGATGATGTATAAGGTCTGTAAAAAGGCCCCAATGATGTTTACAGATATCACCGTTCCATCTCCCTTTAGTAATCCATAGTACAGCCATCCTAGATTACTAAAACACACACACAGAGAAACATGATCATTCAGACTAAGGCTGATGATACACGGGGCTACTTTTTGAGCAATTTTGCAGGCACATTTTTTTGAACAGTGTTGCTTGGGCACTTTCCCATTGAGAATGGGTAACAAAACTCTATCTGGATATTTTAGATCGGCCATGGGCCCTATGTCTCACCTGGTTGCCCGTTGATGGCAACATTGCCCAAAAAGTTGCCCCGTGTATCATCAGCATTACTGAAATCCATGCACAATGCATGCATGCATGAAGTTGCATTCACATATGCAACATTACCAAATGAAAGCTACAAGTGTCAAATATCAAATACATACTTCAAGCATGTGGTGAGGAAGGGCAGAAACTGTATGTTATCTGCACTCTGTGTGGCCTTCATTTTCTTTAAGTCTGTCCTGCAAAAGCAGAGAGGAAATGCATGTAATGAGAGGAACATTATCTTGCAAGATGAGCATAGATACAGAAAGTTATGCATATGCAAACCATATATTTTATCATTTCCACTGAAAGTTAACACACACATGGCGAATTTCCTGTGCTTCAGGCTGCACAACCTCCAAATGTTTACATGCTCGACTTACATACACATACAGAATATAGCTGTTAAAATGTACCATGGTTTCAGGCAAAATACCATAATTACTAGTTATTTGTACAACTGTAAAATCCTAATAATGTGCGATGTTCTTGATGTCAGTGTTGGCTATTATCAGTAGTAACAATAAGTATAGTATGTTGGCGGAAACTTTTGTTACCATGGTAAATTGCTGAGAGGAGGCTGTTTATTAAGATTGAGTGAAGTCAAATAGTATTAGGCGCGAGATGTCACCAGATGCGAAAATTATTAAAACCCGTAAGTGTGTACAGTTTAACTCAGCTACATTATAAGTTATATGATTGGTTATTAATATCAAGTAGAACACATGTAAGTAACGTTAACTTACAATCCCGTCGTGAACATCCCGACGGTGAATATGATGCACGCACATGATAGCAGCTGCAGAAACTCCATAGACTGAAAAAGCGAAAAAATGAGCTGTGCTTCTATTCAGACACCTGTGCAATCAAGCGAAGCAAATTATATTCATAAAACCTATGAATCCTGCACTCGAGCAACGCTGACGTCCACCTTCTCAATTTCCGTGTTTGTAATCAGTGTGGATCGATTCCTTCACTCTGATTGGTTATCACCGAACGCTGCGCACTGACGTCATTTTGTAGTCCGGTTATGTAGTGAAATAAGAGGTCTAATTTTACGATGATTGCCAGAGATATTCCTTTGAATATAATGAGATTTTGTAGTATAGTTTGTATAGTGAGATGTAGTTTTTAAAAGTACAAGCTTTAGGGAAAGAGCTGCCCAAAAGAGTTTAAGGACTCATGATTTTTGTTATCAATATGCATAACGAAAAGTGTTTTAACCACACTGAATATTTTAAATATTTTAAAGTGTGAACTGTTTTAGTAGAGTCCCGGGTCATGCTCACTCATAAGATTTATTTATTTATTTGTTTGTTTGTTTATATATTTATTTTTGTGAAATGGTGTTTTGTGATACCATCTATTCAAAGTTGGTGCAATAAAGTACCATCATAGTTTATATATATATATATATATATATATTATTTAGTCACTTATAGGCTATAGTTTGACAGAATTGTTCTAATTCAACATGCCATGGGAAGTCAATCTAACTTAACATTTTCTTATATTGATATAGTTTATTTCTTACTCAACAGCTCATCAGGCTCTTAATGATTTAATCTATGCCATCTTTTGGAATATCTGAAGGTCATGTACCATAGTTCTTAACTGTCACATTTGTTATAGTAAGACTAGCCTATTAATCATTACCAGGCCAAAAATTTCTTTTTTTTTTTTAAATGAATCAATATAGCATTTGTTATGAAGAAACAAGGCAAGACAAATCACAGTATAAGATGTACAAAATGTAATTTTGGCGAATTTTGCAAAAATAAAAATATGTTGAGGATACAGAAAATACTAGCTATGAATTATCTTAAGTCAGTTATTTTATTCTAAGGATGACAAATTTCCCCCAGAAATGTCTAAAAATCCAGGTGCCAAAAATAGCCATACCTGACAAACAGCCATATAGCGAGTCCACATGAACATCTTTAGATGTTATTGCTGCCAACATCCCGCTTCATACTTTCAAACAAAATGATGAATTTTACATTGACATGTGGGTAAATAGAGAAGACGTATCTTGTGTTTAATGTTCTCAAATGTCAAAGAAAAAGCTGAGGCCAAGGAAAATGCACAAGTAACGTCCTGGCACCCAAGCGCCACTTTACTATCCCCCTCTCTTCTTTCATTCATCTCACCCCTATTTGAATATTTGGCCAGGAAAAAGAGAATGAAAGAGGACAGGAAGAAAGTTTGACAGTGAAAGTGTTAAACTTTACTCGGAGGCCTCAACAAATTTCACAGAAAGTATGACTGTGTTGCCCTTGTTTTATATACATTAAAAAAAAAAAAAAAAAAAAAAATTTTCCACACATTTTCATAATTAACAAATGTCTTTATTTTATATAACTCTCAATATGTACATTTTTACATAACTATTTACAAGTTTATAAACCAGTAACAGTACAAAACAAGTTTTTACAAAAGAAATTGTTCTTTTAACTTATTTGAGAGAATTTATTAAACCGTTGAATTGTTTGTGCATGTTGTGCTCTCTGTCAGAAGTCCGGCTTCTCTCTCTCTCTTGCTCACAAAACACAAACAGCACAACCAAACATTCCTGTTCAAAACCAAATGTTGTTTAAAAAAAACTCTGATCTCATCTATACATTAGTGCCAGTACATTTTGTAGGGTGTGTTCACATTACATCACAGAAACCAACTGAAACTACAGCAACACGAGATCCAAAACACAGGAAACACCAATGCTTGATAACTCTTCTAGATTTGCAAACACTGTTACATGCACAAACATCAACTCTTTATAAGGTGCAAGATCAGGTTCAGTTTTAAGATAAATCCTGTGATCTTTGGCTCAAATCGGTACAGTAGAGCGAAGGTCTCTATCAAACACAATATCGAACCTATTGTTCACCCTTGTGATCACAATTCCAGTTATACAGCTGATGATGGTTACAAGACAAGCTCTCCGGTCTTCAGGGTTTAATCTGCATCACATTGGTAAATTAATTTGTGATGAATTTTCAGGAAGAATGAACACGCAATCTACAAAAGTAAATCAAAAAGAGCTGATGGGGAAAAGAAGCAGAGAATGGTAAATACTCTTCAAAAAATAAAAAATAAAAGAGAGAAGGTTCTTCAAAAATACCTTTCTCTGGTCACATCACTCTCACAAATACAAACACGTCACTCAGCAACTTGCACGCCAGCACCAAAACGTCAGTTTGTATAAAAATTCTTCGTATAAAATCTATTTTCAAAGCCGATAACCAGCACCGGCATTACAGTCTTTTGGGTCCTAACGGACCAGCGTCCATAAAGTCTTCTTATATTAGGCTCAGTGGAGAAGCAGGAAGAGGAATATAGAGATCAATGTGATGAAACTTGAGATGGGAGCAATGCGAACACCCGAACTGCCCACGCTCCTCTGCACAACTGGGATCATGGCAATAGGGTCATCTGAAAGTAGACGAAGAGAAGGATGATGAGTACATTTCACGACCATGTACCTTGCGTAATGTCACTCTGTTGGCTTACGAAGTCTAAAAATTCCACATGTTTTCTAAAGCAAATGGACACACTGCCAGAAGTGAGGAGAAGAGTGACAGATATGAAGTGCTCACCTGCTGGAAGCCTGTTTGATGGGTTATGGACTCCACCAGCAGCCATCTTCCCTTCTAATTCCTCATCTTTTTCCATGGTCTGCTTCTTGTTCTTGGAACCTAGAAAATTAAATGATATAGTTGGACTCCAAGTAAGGCTTCATTGTCTGTGTAATCCAGTAAAGACTTGCAGAAATGTCTTGCTGGAAAGGCAAAAAATTATCTGACTTACCATGAGGTCCAACTACATCCACCTTCAGTCTCAAACACTCCTGTCCATGATGGTGAAGAGGCTTGGCTGTGGAAAACAAGAATAAAAATTTAGAACTGGAATCTGAAGCCCTACAAATATACACTTAATATGCTTATAAATGCTAATACATGCATACATTTTGTAGTCATGTTTGTTTCATAAGGTTTGGAACATTTTTTAAAAACCTCACACTTTGAATACATTACAAATTATTTTCAAAAACATTTTTAAAGGTAATTTATATTTATTGAATTCTTAATGATGATGAAGGTCTTCAGGGGTCATCTCTATGATAAAATTTCTTATTTTACGCATTTTTTTGCATTTTTACTATTTTATTTAATTTTTTTAGTGCTGGGCAATGATTAATCGCGATTAATCGCATCCAAAATCAAAGTTTTTGTGTACATAATATATGCGTGTGTACTGTGTATATTTATGCATATCTATATATCTATCTATCTATATATATATATATATATAAATAAAATACACACACATATGCATGTATATTTTTAAGAAAAATTTTAAATTAAGTATATTTATATAATATAAATTATATGAATATAAAATATACATGTAAATATTTTCATAATATATACTGTATGTGTGTCTTTATACAGTATACACATAATAAATATATACAGTACACATATATTATATAACCAAAAACTTTTATTTTGGATGCGATTAATCATGATTAATTGTTGCCCAGCACTATTTTCTTTGTTTCTACATGTTACGTATTTATTCTTCTGACTTGTTGGTCGCATCACATGCATTTGATTTGGTGGACAAAAAAAAGAGAAAATTAATAAGCAGTGAAGTGGTTTTGTTAAACAGATTTTGAATAAATTAACCAAATTTTTGCTTTTTAAAGTATATATTAAAATGATTTTACTCATTTACATCACTACTAATTGTGGTATGCAGTTCCAAAAATGCTGCAAAGATCTACACTGAGTTTTGAGTTACAGATGTGGATACTTACAAATATAGTAGTAACTCTCTCCCTGGCGGAACTCTTTGCCCAGAGTGAAGGGAGTGAAGCGCTGGAACTTCTCGGAGAACTTCTCTGGAGCGTGAGGAGCGAAAGGTCTGGAGCACTCCCAGCGGAGCTGGTCAAAGGACTGCGGCTTGCAGTTCTCGTAGTCCTCCAATTCCACCATGTAGAGCACGTACCGCTCGGCCTCCTGGGATGGGATCTCGCCACGTGTGTAGTGAGGGCAGATGATGTCTAGGTAGTCATTAATGCGGACCTCCACGGTGTAATCATCCCATAGGAAACTGGAAGAAGAAAGAGAAAGAAAATCCATGAATGGCTGTCAATATTTAAGGAACACAACGTACAATAGTGTTGTACAAAACACAGACACACCTCAGGATTAAAACCTTCTCAAAAAAGAACTTGACGTGCACAAACAAACAGAAACAAAAGTTCTGGCGACACTGAAACAACCTCAGGCAAGCATCATCAGTACAAACCAAAAGCGAGAGCTACACCCTGATGCACGTGTGTGGGAGACTGGTGTTCACCCTTCACCTGGTGCTTTTATTTGCGTAAAACACCCTGTAAAATCCCTCTTTTCTTTTTCTTTCTTTCCTTCTCTGTATTTTGGTGTCACATTAGGTGAAGGAGTGTAGATAGGAAATTGTCCAACTGTGTTTTTCTTTATGTCCTTTATGAAAAGGCAGTTTTCCTTTTCATTTCACTGATTTATTTCCATCCGTTTTTTGTTTGTTTTGCAAACTTCTACCAAATGTTGTGTCCACTTATTTCACTTTACTTTTTACAAAGACCTAGCATATCTTCCTCTTTTTCTCTCTTCCTCTTATCTTTTTTTATAATTTTTTTTTTTTTACTTGAGAAATTATTTAAATTCAAGTGTTTTCCATAATAAATATTGTTCCAAAACAGATTATAAAATAGGTTAAATATATTTTAAACAAGTTTTCAGCTAACACGTTAACTTCAGCAGATCTAAAATACATTTTGTAATTTGATTTTTGATTTTTCTGATGAAAACCTCTTGGCTTCATGTGATCCATCACAACCATTTCCTTGGAGCCGCTTAGACTGACTGGCTCTTTGAATCGGCTCTACGTGTTTTTACAGCCTCCTCTCTGTCTGCCTCTTCTTTTATTGTCGTCTCATTTGCCTTTCTCATTTTCGTCTGATCTAAGCTTCCCTGCTGCTGTTGCCAGATGTACAAATGACAAATCCACAGGCTTCTCGGTATGTTATTCTTTCTGTGTCTTTGTTTTCATGTTGTCAGTGATTTATTATTGTGAATTTTGTCCAAAAAATAAATGGTCTCAAACTGCTTGCACAACATTTATGAATAAATCACTATGTTTTTCTTAATACCGTCACTCCCACAGTGGCCACAAGACGCCATTGTTCGAACCCCATAAGTCATCTGATGGTGAGTGTTACAACGCTACACGCCATCACATTTCCATATACCCAAAATCTTCAAACCCAATCACATTACCATATCATTTACTCACACGGCCCTCATGTGAACCGCAGTCAAAACACAAGGCGGCCTCTTTTCCCCCAGCATGCCCTTTGCTCTATCACTTTCTCCCTTTTGGCACATGTATTTGTTGTTGATGCCATCGGGAGCCGTGGTTAAATGACGGACAGACACACAGGCTCCTGACAGGCCCCCCGTTGTCCACTCCAACCCCCTTCATCTCTCTTTCTTTCCCACTGTGCCTCTGCGGTAAGCATTAGCCGACCTGTCTAAACAGCCTGGCGCTCTATTCAGACGGGGGGTAAACATACACATCACTGCGCTCATTATCACCGGTTAATGCAGAGATTAGAGTCAGTCTCGCACAGCTTCTAATCAGTGGAGTGTTCAAAAGACAGGGTGTACACCTTGCTAAGCCAGCTGACTTTTCTGTGTGTGGGAAATGAGATTCTAAATGCGCAGCGGGTCAAAGTGATTCAAATCAGAAAGCAGTGTGAACATTTTCAGTTTTAGACTGTTTAGTGGATTGCCTAGTTTCACTTCCTCTGATGTTCCTTTGAAGCAGTTTATTTGAAACCTAATGACAATGTGTTTGCAAGACCAAGACAACAACACAAATTGGGTGTCATTAACTCCTCCCCCCTCCTTCTCACATCGGCCTCAGGGTCGGGTCTTGTCTTTGGACACCAAGGTGTTTGCCTAAGGATGCACAATCAGTCCATCAATCGGCATCTAAATCATTTATTTTAGTTTGGAGTTATAATTTTTCTATTTCTTTTGACCCAAATAGTATTGCATATTAAGTGCATACCTAGTTTAGTTTCATGCTGAGAGGGTCTGGTGTGCCCTCACACTATACGATTCCCATGCGCTTCTAATCTCTCTGAGCTGATCCAAGGCCAGCTGCTGATATCTCAAACAATCACAGAGAAGCTCTGTTGTGTTTTTCATCCTAGTGATCAGTCACTTCAAACGCAGCTGTGCCCACTTGTTCCCGTGTGACAGTTTGTGCTGTGATGGGCCAAGCGTGAGAGTGATGCTGTTTTAAGAGAGGCACGGACCCATGTAAACATCACACATCCGAGAGGAGTGTCTGTACCTGCAGCCCCTGGGGGCCACGTCTCCCATCTGTTTATCACAAGACACAGAGGAGCTTGGGTTTAAATGTTTGCGTGTGGGCTTAAAAACTTAAAGTTGGAGTAAGTAATTTGTTTATGCTGACTGATTAGGTTGGTCATGTGATCTCAACATGGCGGCCCACATGAGATGATCCATTTTGTGAGTAGAACAAAACAGTATTTATTAGGCTGTCAATATGGCATGAGTCTTCATACTATGTATTTGTCCATGCTTTAAAAAAAATCTATTATATATTTTATATAATATAAGCTGATCAAAATTAACAGTAAAGGCTTTTACTTTCTTACAATAAAAATCTATTTCAAATGTAGTCCTTTTGAACATTCTATTCATCAAAGAACCCTGAAAAATCCAAAAATATTAAGCAACGCAATTGTCTTCAACATTGATAATAATAATAAATATTTCTTGAGCACTAAATTGGCATATTAGATTGATTTCTGAAGGATCATGTGACACTCAAGACTAGAGTTAAGGCAAAGCTGAATTTTCAGCAGCCATCACAGGAATATCAAATAAACGCAGCCTTGGTGAGCATAAGAGACTTATTTTATAAACAAAAAAAAAACTATTTTGTACAATATATACTTGAATTTGCTTTCAGATATGTTTGTCTTCTTTCTCCTCAATATTTTGTCTGTTCTCCCCCTCTTTCACTCTGCAGAATGTTTTAAATTGTCAGGAGGGTCAGTAATGTCAAAGTTCAGGGTCAGATTTTTTAGACACACCCTAACTGAGTCAGCAGCATGCACGCACACACACACACACACGCTGAGAGACGGTCAGCGCTGTGTGCTTCAGAACAGATGTACACTGACAACTGCACTACACTCGCTGTCAGCAGTTGACACACACACACACACACACACACACACACACAGTTGAGGGTTTGGTTACTGAAAACCTTTAAGACCTGCTGCTTGTCATGACAAGTATTATGATCCTATTTTAGCGGCTTGTTCTCACACTATCAAGTAATAAAACCTGTCTGTTCAAGCGCGTGTGCAGAGCTTTTACGCTATTTGTGTCTGTCTGGCTTTCTTTCTCCATTACAATAATATACAGTCGTCTCAGTCTTACACCTTCGTATCGTTAAAGTCTGAAAGGTTCAAGGTGTTAAGTCACCGCTAAGTCCTTTTAACCTCACCCCTCTCTCACTTTCTTCCCGATCAGTATGTTCTCATATTGTCCTTCTTGTCGATTACATGCCGGTAATTACCCCAGCCATAGTGGAACGCGTCGGAATGCCATCCAGCTAATCCGCTCTTCCAAACCAGGGATTATCACACTGAGCACACGGATCACACCGCTGCTATTCACCGGCACCAGACCCATCCAATACAGGCCGTTTGCAGGGGTTAAAGTGGGGCTTGGGGGAATGGTTTTACAGATACATGTTCTAAGTCAAGTTGGATTGGGGGGTAGGGCTGCACAATATCTCAAATTTATCGAAATAGTGCAAATGTATATTGCAATGGCCTGAGAAAACAGAGTTTTAGGTCAACGTAAAACTTTAATCACACAACACAGGCTGTGAGATATGTATTTCTATGAGATTTTGAGAGTTTAAAAGCAGAATACCAAAATTTCTCCCCATCCATCACTGTCCTTTTGCTCCACCCCTATATATATATATATATATATATATATATATATATATATATATATATATATATCTTTCTGTCTCCCATCCCCCTTTTCCTCCATCTTCTCCACCCTTTTTCTTTCTCCTCTCTGTTTAAAATCACATTATAAACCTGGGCCTCTTCATTCAGGCTAATTTTTTAGAGAAACACTTCTTTCTTTCTTTCTGACATCTAACCCACCACCCATCCCCCGGTCCTATCTTGCTCAGTCCTTCCCTCACAAATGCCTGATTTCCCCCTCCTCCCTTTCTCTTTCACTTTTAAATGGATGCTAATTGCCTGCTGATATGCTAGCTTGTCGTTTAGTAGCATACTGTGAGCTTTATTCAAAGTCAGCGACTTTAGTCACAAAAAAAATACTTGAATTAATAAACTGAAAACAATATAGGCACTGAATGAAATTAAAATGTTCGTCAAGTACTGCAAGCGTTCTGTAGATGGCAACAGTGAGCCGCTGAAGAGGCTGAATGCAAACACTCCACTTGAGGTAATTAAGTAACGCCAGGCAACAAGCTTCTGGTTCTTTTGTTTACATTTGTGAGCTCACACAGGTCACACACTTTACTACACCGACAGTTACACAACCTAGCACGCTGCAGACAGAAAAACAGGAAAACTCCAACAGGGCAGCGGGAATCAAAACAGTAATCGGGAGTAAAAGGGAGTTGTGTGGGAAAAAAGTGCATGGAAAGATGGAGCAGGGAGGGTATAAGGACATACAGAGAGAAATAGTGAGGAAGTCTGGGCTGGAGATAAGGAGAAGAGAGGAAGAGCTCAGAATAATGGGATTTAAGGGTTAAAATGAGTGAAGAGAAAATAAACTAAGCAAGGAGTTAAAAACAGGCCCAAAGGGTTTATATACACATCAAAAAACTGAACTGGAACAACAGATAACTTCCTGTCAGTTATTAATCATTATTACTTGACCAGTTGAGTTCTTGAAATGGAGCTCTAATCTGTGAAAAAACATACCAGAAATGATCCGGAAAGGGCTATGATTTCATAATCAAACCAAGCCGTAGATGGTAGAACATTCTATAATGCTTTGGGGAATTATGGATTATATTTTCCATACACATCCATTTCTGCGTAAAGCGGGATTATACAGCACTGGATTACACTGGAGTCTATAAATATACACTGTGATTTCTGTGTGAATGGCCATCCGGCCAGATTACACGCATCTACATATAATCTGAGGCTGAACTCTGTTCGTTTCACAGATTATAGCCCTGCCTACGTGGCCCACCATGTTTGCGTGTTTATGAGCCTTAGACAAAGAAAGAGAGGGTTAAAGAAGATTGATTTACAGTCTGTCTGTGGAATCTGTCTGGCTATGTATGCTGATCTGTCTGCTCCCCTCCTCCTCAAGATAACAACTCAGCAATATAATGCTCAGATACATGTAAAAGATCAAACATAGTGAGTTAGCCGAGGAAGGGATGGACAACGAGGAAATGGTGTGGACAATAAGTGGACAGCTGAAAGGTCAAGTATAGCAACATGTTTGCTGGAAGGAATCCCAGTCTACTAAATATACCCGAATCGGACCCCCGTATGCGAGCCAGTGAAACTTTGATGAGTGAACGCACATGTATATGACAACATGTACGTGAAAATAAACGCATGATTCAGGGCAAAAATAATGATTCAATGATGCTAACATGACGGGACTGTATACTTCCCCTTCAGCACGCTCAGCGTGCAAGCGTAGGCATGTGACAAGCTCAAAAACAGACTGTCGAAAACAACGTACATATGTCAATCCGGACCTGAAAATCCAGTCTCCTCGGGGCGAACACTCACGCACATACCCGTCAAACCAGAGCGTCAGTTCGCCAAAGGCCACGCGCAGGAGATTAAATCATTACTGTTCACTCACACCCACATGGTTAAAAACAGCCGAGCGTGTGTTTGTGTTTGTTTGCGTGCGAACGCTTTTACGCCACCTGCAGAATCAACTGATCATGTCAATTAATATTTAACACCTATCTGTCATTGATTAGTCGAGCCTGACTAATCCACTTACACACAGACTAATTGAGTTTTACGGGCTGATTGAACAATCACTGGCTTTGATTGAAGTCGGTAAAGGAAAGAAAAGTAAAAGAAGTTTCTTTTTTCTTAGAACATAAGATTAATAACAGAGATTTATCTTGGAAAAAGATGAGGTTAAAACGCAGATCCCACCACACCTGCCAGATTATGACCAGCTCAAAACAGGATTATATTAACAATACTGGTTATGATGTGTGGGCGTTTGTTTTATCCTTTTCAATTGCTAATAAAGCAAGGTCTTTGTGTATGTGTACAAGAACAAGAGCTTTCAAAGAAGAGATCCACTCAGAATTTTAATGCTGAGATTTTCTGAGGGCTTAGTGTTTTGTTATTACAAATTTTCTTCTTGTGGTTACGCAACCATTTTCATGGATGTGGACCACATCGGGATTAGAGACCGGACCAAGCATCAGACTGCTGCCACATAATCGCCTCCACCTCTTTTTCTCCATCTCCAACTCAAATGACCAATCCTGTTTTTTTTCCCCCAAACCCAAGCAGCTCCTATTCCTCCATCACTTTCTCTTTCGCCCCATTCTTTTCACAGCAGGTTCTAAAAAGAGTTTGGTCTCCATTACATGATTTATTCTGTCTTTCTTCAGGCACAGCAGCTGTTTCTCTCTCGCTCTGCTGACTGATAGTGAGCCAGGCTCTTCTGAGACCGTGTCTGGTTAAGGCTGGTACACTCATGTTGCGCAACAATGACATTGATAAATTGCTCACTGAAAGCAGACTGAATCACAACAGACAGTGTGAATCACCTGTGACATCATGAAAACTTCCAAACGGGTCATGAGCACAGATTCAGTTCAGCTATCACCAGTTAACTTTTATGACTACAAGTTTATCATTGCGTACGTGTGAATTCAGGTGAAACAAGTCAATTACTATGGGAAGGAATAAAAAGATATCATCTCATGGTCAAAGATTCTGTTTTACAGTAACAAGTTTCTGATATCCACAAAAGGCCATCTTGTTCTTGAGTTTCCTGCTAAAAGTGTAATAAATCGCTCTGAATGCTGTCATTGATCTCTCTAAAGTACCTGATGGCCTGTCCTTCCTCACTACGAGGTGAGAATACAATCGCAATCATTTGATGAAACACCCATCAAGGAGCTTTAGGCTTTATACAACTGTAACGGTAACAACTTAATATCATACTAAGAGTAACAAGACAATTCCCATAAAAAGCTCAAGCTACTACTAGCCATAGATAATCTCGTCTTGTGTGCTCATGTCTGTTTATTTATTGCTGTATGTATGTGTGTGTGTGTGTGTGTGTGTGTATATAAAAGTTAGACTATTCTTTTAAAGCTAAATAAATAAGGTTCTTATGAATATAGTAAACAAGAACTGGCTCATTGGTTCCTGTTTTGCTGTAGATCTACAGATATCAACAGGTCTGTCTGAGGGAAAACGAAGTTACAGTAAATATCATATCTTGGTAGCGAAGCCTGTCAATAAGATGCCCTCATAAATATAGTAAAACTAACATGTGTGTGTATATTTAGGCTGGTCTGTCTATCCATCTGTCTGGTTTCTTTCCATGTACTTCTCTGTCCAGCTGCTGTCTCTAGTAATTATCATGTCATTCACTAGCATGTTAAAGGTTAGTCTAGTGGCAGAGATAAGCAAACCAATTAAATGCGTGATAACTGAACTGAACGAGTAAACAACTGCAAGTCAGGGTCAATGATGGGTTATGTGTTAGAGATCTTATGTGTTTCCTTAATCTATACGTGCTTCTTCCCCCACCGAATAAATCTCAGGAAGAGCAAATAACTAGAAATTGCAACAAAACATTGCATGAACCAGATAAAGCAGCTAAATGCTTGTGAAACTGTTTAGACTGTTAATGCAGTGCATATAATGCGTAGTTCTTATATTAATATACTGCGTACTTACAAGCATTTAGTTGGAGAACTCGTGTTAGTGTACTATGCAGAGATTTCAAATATCACAGAAGAACGCTAACAAGAGTTGCATCATATAAAGATGGATAAATACAGCTGAAAGGTTTTATACAATTAAAGGAGCAGGCTACAAGTCTTACTTTGCGTTCGTGCTGTTCCAGTAAACACTGTGTCGCTCCGCAGACGCGTACCAGGCGCTGACGCTCACCGCAACGCACACCAGCCACAGAAAATCCATCGAGTCCGGGAAATAATGCTCTTCAAATGAATAGATACTAGTGCAATGGATTGTTTTGCACGTTGAAAACGTAAATATAAATGTGCACCACTGCAGTGCGAGAATCGCTGAAACACTAGTGATTCGGTTGACTTGAATAACAGGTTCGTATGAGTCTCTAGCAGAAACAGTCGCGGTAAAGCCTGGAGAGACGTGCGCTCAGTCCGCTTTATCAATCAGCTACGTAAACCACGCCCCCAAAGAACAAGCAGCCAATGAAAACAGCAAAACTTTATTTTTTGACACGCCTCTACGCACAGGATTACAATGACTGAAGTGAACAGAACATGACAAAAAAATCAGTGTTGTTTCAGTTTTATTAACATACTATTATAGTTTTTATTGATATTGTGAAATTGCATTTTAGTTACATTTTATTTATTTTATTTAGTACTTTTTTTTTTTTACCTTTTAGGTTTATTTATTTATTTTTAGTTTATTTATAGTCATTTTAGGGCTTCAACATTTCAATTAGTTGACAAGGCAACATTTCTAATTATTGTTTAGTTGACGTTATTCATCAAACACGAATATTACTAATCAAAAACGAAGTTTTGATATATTTACAGTAGGAAATTTACAAAGTATCTTCATGGAACATGATCTTTAGGCTACTTAATATCCGAATGATTTTTGGCATAAAAGAAAAATCGATCATTTTGACCCATACAATGTGTTGTTGGCTATTGCTACAAATATGCCCGTGCGACCTATGACTGGTTTTGTGGTCCAGGGTCACATACTGTATGTTATTCTAATCGAATAAATATATATTATTCTAATCTTATAAACTTTTATATGCATAACACAACTTATATTATTTTGTTTTTATTATAAAGTAACCCAATTTCTTACTTTTAGAAGTTGTTTTATAAATGTTCTTTTAATTATTTTAAATGCTTTTTTTCTCTCAATACAAGCGTCGAACTGTAAGATTTATATAGGTTATATATAACCTGTTTACTGGATATTATAACCCTGTTCAGCATTAATCAAATCAGTATGACAGCAAGTTGAGTAATTTACCGTGGGCAGTCTTTTTCAGTCAGTTATGAAATATTACATTTGGAAATTGTACATTGTGTAGAATGACAAACAAAGCAGGCTTTTCCTGGGTATCAATCAAAAAACTGTAATCCCTAAAATCCCCTTTTACACCTGATAACGCTATTATGACATCAACTCCAGTCATCAGGGCTTTTCCCCCTCGTCCCACCTCCACAGGGGCTCCCTGGTGCTCTCTAATCCAGGTCTGGCTACTCATCCTGGGGTCACAGCGCAGAGTAATTATCCTTACTTAGTCCAGGTCTTTTGACTTGAGGGTAGAAAGGTGAGCCGAGTGGAAAGCGCGTCTACCTATTTTGGGCTGGGCTAGGCAGGGCTGTGCAGGCTCATGCACGTTCCATGTTGTCGAAGGCTTCAGTTTGGGACGATTAGTCAAGGCTGAGTGTGCATACATGAGTGAGGATGCTTTTCCGTCTGCTTTGAGAGCAATGCGTCACCAGGTGAGCAGGGACATTTTGGATGTGTTTTAGACATTTTTTGACTATTCAGTCTGAAAAATGCAGAATAAAGTATGCTTATGAGCTCCATCGGCGTAGGAGGTAGAGCTCGGAGCAAATGTTCAGGAACAGATCTGCCCACAGCAGGCTTCCCTTTACAGCCTGGCTTGGCATCATGCATAAGTCTGTGACAGAAGCTGAAATTCCTCTCAGTTATTCTCTCTTTTCTTCGTTCTCGTACACACTGTCTTTTTTGTTCTCTCACTATCCCCCTACACAGTAGCCGTTGCTGTCTATAAAGTGTGGATAGATCTGTGTGGGAGTGTTTAGCATTTGTTGGGCCATACTGTCCACTTGTGTGTGAGAGTATGTATATGCATATGAATGTGAATGGGCAGTCGTCCAGTGTTCTGAACAAAGGCCGCATTTGCATAATACAAAGCGATCAAGGTGTAAACGACTTCGCCATTCAGCCTGGAAACCCTGCATCCAGTACAACACAAATTCTCTAATGTCCTGTTACTGTTAGTGTGTAAAAGTTCTCCTTCATTGTTATTGCAGCATTCAGCAAATGCATGACCTTCAGAGTCATTTAGCGAGGGGGGCTTTGAGGTAATCGCTTGCAGGATATCCCAACAAATCATTTGTGTTGAAAAATGAGAAGAGGAAGGATAATTTAATAACAACACATTATGAAGTGCTGTTTAGAGTTAATTTAGCGTTTAAGCTGTCAAGTTTCTAATGCATATGCTCATGGGCTCAGGAGATCTCATCTCTGCAACAAAGAAAATTATTCAAAGCTTTGATTAGCTTCTAACTTCAGATGGGAATGATGAAATATCTCATGAAAAATGTATTTATTCCTCATCTTGAAACAAGCCCATAGCTGTTACCACGAGCTGAATGCGTCTCTATGGAACACTTAGTTTGTTAGTTGCATGACATGCAAAATTAGCCCCACAGTTATGCAACAAAAGGCTATAAACATTTTTTTTGCTTTGAGGTAATCGCTTGCAGGATATCCCAACAAATCATTTGTGTTGAAAAATGAGAAGAGGAAGGATAATTTAATAACAACACATTATGAAGTGCTGTTTAGAGTTAATTTAGCGTTTAAGCTGTCAAGTTTCTAATGCATATGCTCATGGGCTCAGGAGATCTCATCTCTGCAACAAAGAAAATTATTCAAAGCTTTGATTAGCTTCTAACTTCAGATGGGAATGATGAAATATCTCATGAAAAATGTATTTATTCCTCATCTTGAAACAAGCCCATAGCTGTTACCACGAGCTGAATGCGTCTCTATGGAACACTTAGTTTGTTAGTTGCATGACATGCAAAATTAGCCCCACAGTTATGCAACAAAAGGAATGACAACAATAATAACACTGACAAACTTTGGTCAACCTTTATGCGCTTCAAGCTGTGTCTGCCCTTTGGGCAACTGCAGAATAAATTTATATACACAGTGTTTTGGTTTCTAAGCCTCTCCTGAGTGAATAATCACTGACATATAATTACTTTTTGGCTAATAGCGTGCAGCACTGCTTCTGAAACAGGGAAATGGTTGGAGTGGGTGGGATAATAAATCAAATATGGAAAAAATTGGTTTATGTGGTTAGATGAAAAAAGGTGAAGACCTAGGGTGTAGAAGCCGTTGAGGGTTTGGTTGAAAATGGGAGTGGATCTCTGTTTCGTTGCGCCAAGATACACCCCGAGGCATATAGAGAACCTGCTGTTGCAAAACACTGAGAGGGAGAGATGGAAAGATGTATAAATGGGTTGAGTGAGAGAAAATGGAGAGAGAGAAATGGAAAGCAAAATAGATTTACTTTGAAAATTGCATAATCTAAATGAACAAAGTGATGGATGACCTGGAGAACGGAGTAGGTGTTCATGTAGGAGAAAATCAACAGTTCGAGAACTAACTATTCAGAGTGCAAAAATAGAGAAAAGGAAACAGCCTGTCACTCCCATATAGGGTCATCAGCAGTTTTACCTATTTTGACTGCTGCTGCAAAGAAACTTTTCACAATCATCTGATGTTAGAAAATAATGTATGCTACTGTTCAAAAGTTTGGGGCTGGTAGAACTTTTTAATGCTTTCGAGTCCCTTAAACTCGACAACACTGCAATTATTCGATCAAAAATACAGTAATATTAGGGTATATTATTACAAATTAACAAATTAATTAATAACTGTTTTCTATTTGAATCTATTTTAAAATGTAATCTATTCCTGTGATGGCAAAGCTGAATTTTCAGGAGGCGTTACTTCAGTCTTCAGTGTCAAATGGTTGTGCTGCTAAATATTGTTGATTTAAGTTTTTTTTGATGAATAGATTACAAATATATATAACAAACTTTCTTTTTTACACTTTTTTTGTGTGTATGTGTGTATATATATATATATATTCAGCTTTTTTATCAAAATAATTTGGCACCTTAACATATTAATTATGTATATTTGCATAAGTATATACTCTCTTTTTTATTTTTATATATTTTTTTATTTTACTTTCAGATTACATTCCAAATTTTCAATGTTGTCTCAGACTTTTGGTCTTAAACTAATGTATGAAAAGTCTCTTATTCATGCACATGGACAATGGAGAAACAGTTTTAAAATAAATCTGGCCAGTTGTATTGAAATCAAATCCTGTTTTCTGTATGACCTCCATCTGAGGTCATCAATTAGAAACACCTCAATCTGACCCCATGGCACACATACACATTTCTGTCGCTCTTAACTCCCTGGTTGGTCACACTCAGTCTCATTGCGGCACACTCCGACAAGCTGTTCTCTTTATATGGATACAATAGGATGATCCCTCATTAGCATACAGGTGGTCTGCATTGAGGGCCAGACTCTGGTTGAAGACAGTCCTCTACAAAGGAGCTCCTGTTACTCCACAGGGGGCAAATGAAGGACCAGGAATGTGTTCAAAAGCTGATGTTCACACACACTTGCACACTCCTGTTTTAACCCTTAAACACAGGCCAATTATTAACTGAACTATTCTCTGCACAGACGTTCGGTCAATTTCTCTGCTTCTCCCTGATCATTTCCCTCCATCTCTTCTCCATGTGTCCTTTCTTGGGTTCTAGAAGCACTCTTTTAATGTTTATGATCTCATTCCTTTCATGATCCATTGATGTAGCTTGTAAAAGCCATTGCTCCTTTGCCTTGTTTATTTTAAGCACATATCATTTCCTCTGTACCTATGCTTGAACTTCTCCTCTTCTAATGAATAAAAAGAAGATTTGTTTTTTATCTAAAAGATCAAAAGATTGGCAATTCAATTTTACCCCCTCATTTTATTTATTTATTTATTTAAAATTCCACAATTATTGTAGGTAAATGTGTTTTCTTAGAACACTGGCAGAAATCATGCATTCACAACCAAACGTATTAGATAATTTGCTTTAAAATGACAATTTGCCCATCACCCACATGTCATTTGCAACTCATATGAAGAAATGCATGCTAATCACAAACGCTATTTTTTGGCATATTTAATTTTAGAAAATTATATGTCATTTGTAATTTTTTGAGGGGGCACCAATGGCAAATTAAACACTTTTTTTTCTAATTCAAAGCTGTGACTTCTTTGGTGTTTCAACACCGCATAGATCTATTTTTCTGGCACATTTGTGTCAGTT